ATCACCCCCACTGCCCGGCTATCAACACTAAGCTCAGATTACACAGATGACTTAAATTCTGGTCCGAGGAGGGCACAGTTAGGAAGGCAGATCGCCGGGAGGAATGTTCCGTGGCCCGCTCGTGAAGCCAGGCGTCGCTTCCTCTGGGTCATTCGCAGTGCTCCCTGTCGGCAGCGCTGGCCGAGGAACCCACGCTCTTTAGAACGCGGGACTCGCGCTGTGCTGCAGGTGCCGGCCTGCTGCCTGTCCCCCAGACCCGAGCGGGTGGAGCGTCTGTGTTTACACAGGCCGCTCACGAGCCAGACGGCGTCGGCAGCGTGCTCTCGTTTACCAAAGCTGCGACATCCACAGGTTGTCACACTTAGTTTTTGTGTGTGGAAAAGCTGTTAATGGTTGGGGTGTTTTACGATACTATATAATCAAAGCAGGAGACTGCTATTCTTTTGTGGATTGTGATGAAGAGGGGTGTTCCTGAGAGGAACAAAACCATGTTATCATTATTGTAGCAATCAAAAGATTTGTCATAAATTTGCACTCAGAAGGCCGTTTTGTTGCATTGATCGTTAATACCTACATGGACCCACCTTCCACATTAGCTGCCGTCCAGATACGTAACTTTATAACATGGCCTGGGCCTTTAAAACCACAGCATTAGCTTTAAGAAACCATCCTCATTTATCTGTCTGCACCCAGACTTTGCAGCCACACTAACAGGATTCCCTCTTGTCTAAGGAACAAACAGCATCATTGGTCTGGGTTAAAGCAAAGTTACTCTTTAGCATACGTCATGTGATCTGTATTTAAATGGGGCTGAGTAGACTTTCCTAAAGTGTCTCCAAGGGTCCTCCAAAGCCTAATTGCCTGTTGAAATCTTATAGGACTGAAAACATGGTGCTTAGTAACTATGAATGTCATCTGGACCCTCAAGTAAAATAATGCCATTTTCCCCCTTTTATTCAGTTCTCTTGCAACTAGCAAGCGATGCTTTACCAAGTGACATGACCCTGGCTCTTGCTTACCTCCTGGCCTTACCACAGGTAAGCTTACCCTTACCAAGACAGAGGGCTGAAAGGAAATTAAGATCTAGTGTTCATTATAATTGTTTATTTTACATAGACACTGTGGTCACTATCCAGAGAGTAAGTTCTACAGTGTTAGCCAAAATGCTGATTTTAAATCTGCTTTTATACACATAGGATCTGCCTTTACAGTGTCTTCTGAATTTTCATGTGTGAAGATGAGATCGAGTTGATGTGATGGAAACTTTGGACCACATTCTAGTGATGACTAGATATGAGATAGTTTAGGATGATCTTGATTTCCTCTCAGCTACGCTCATGCCATCCATTGTGTTCCCCTCCCAGGTGTTAGATGCCAACCGGTGCTTTGAGAAGCAGTCGCGCTCTGCCTTGTCCCTCCAGCTGGCGGCATATTACTACAGCCTGCAGATCTATACCCGTCTGGCCCCCTGCTTCAGGGACAGGTGCCATCCTCTCTACAGGGTGAGTCCTCATGGTCCCCACCTTTTAATGAGCAGAGTTAATGTTCTAAAATATTTAAAATGTGTGTGTGTCGCTTTGGAGGTACTGACTTGCTTTGCATCCAGAATGCATTCTGAGTGGCTGACAGCCTTTTCCTCCCACACACTTGTTTTTCCAGACACAGTTGCTCTTCTAGGCATCGGGCAGAGGTGGGTTCTCATGTTTGTTGTGAATGCTGATTCGTCCCCTACCTTTTCTGTCATTCACTTTATTTTACAAAGGCCTTAGGACAGGCTAAAGTAACAGGAGAGGCGGATTGAAGAATTGGTTTTAATTCACTGCCCAAAAGGAGGGCGGCCCTGTCTGGTTCAGGCAGGTGGCACTTCTTCTTTATTGTTAGGCCATAAATGTGAGAGTAGCAGTTGTACAGATGAGATGTTGAAACATATTCTGCCTACTTGCCTCCGAGCTCCGGACAATGTTTATGCAGCTCCTGTTCATTTCTGAGCGAAGCACCTTCATCTCCTGTGGACACAGGAGAGTGCAGACGCCCTGCGAGATCAGAGCCTCAGGTTTTACTTCATGCGCTAGTTTGTCAGTTATCAGCCCTGGAAAATTATCTACTTTGTGTATTGGGTCATTTAAAGAGAATTACCACATTAGGAGTAGAGAAGCAAGTAGGTCAGACTTTCAAATCCACTGTGTGCACAGATCCAACCTTCACATTCTATTGAGGCAGGATTTTCTTCCCCGTGGCCCAAAGCATAGGGTCAAAAATAATTTCACATGTATGAGTGATCTGCCTGCCTCAGCTGTGCAAGACATGTCTAATAAGTGGGCGAAAACCTTTCATTCCTGGCAAACTTGTGCTCTGGTCCATCAGTTTATTTAAAAGGGGAGAAGTGTCAGGGAGCATCCTCGGTGCAGGTTAATCTTCCAGGCACTGTCCTCACTGATAGGTGTGCACTGCTCTCAGACAGTTTTATTGTGATGATTGGCGGAGAAACAGGAATGCTTTCTTCTTTTTAGCCTCTTGATATAAGATGTTACTTTATTTGGGGAATTTTGTGTTTATTTTTTTTTATAGCTACTGATGCTTTGCACAGTTACTTTATTCCATACCCTAGTAATTTTCCCTTGTTCTGTTTTTATAGCTCAGGTATGATTTTATGTGAAATAAGAAATAGACCTATTGTGTTATAGATTTAGGTGAGTTTGGGCTCAGAGGAGCCTCCTGTTTGCAGCCTCCTCTGCCTCCCAGCAGACACTGGACTCCTCCTCCCCTTTGCTGCTCTTAGACAAACCCCTTTGGAGCAGTTCTCCTAGGACACTGTGATTGTCTTCTCTCCACGTGCTCTTCCCCAAGGCAGGAGTCCTGTCTCTCTGCTCCCCAGGACCTTACCCCCTGTAGTCCCCCGCGGCTTTTGCGGGTATGTACAGAAGTTCAGGAGTCGTTTCAGCAGTTGGGCCTGAGGACGGCCTTCAGGCTCCAGTCATGCAGTTTGGAGGGCTGGCTTGTGGGTCTGGAGGAATCCAGAGGGCACAGTAACTGGGTGTTTAGGTACATCTGCGTTTTCCATTGACTACCTAATGGCTCATTATTTGGGTCTTTTCAGCATCTTCCTACACATAAAACAGCACTGCTGAGTTTGGAATTAAATGTGACAAAGTCCTGATGGATCATCATGGAAATTGAAATCAAAGTGGTTTCAATTTGTTGCCTCCACATAATAGTGCTCCGTGCAGCATCGCTGGCACTCAGCTGTCAGCCCAGCTTGATTCTGTTTCCACAGCCTTTTCCCCCTCGTTCCACCCCCATGGTGCTGTGCTGCAGGAACGGTAATTTAGGTAGATTACTAGGTTTGAATAGAAGTACTGATATAATTGGTTGAGTTATTTCTAATAAAAGGCCCGTGCTTCTTGATGGGATGCAGCATCCTGAGCCCAGCTCAGGCCCCTGGACTTCGGGGGCTCCCCTGGTGACCTTTGGCGAAGCCCATGCCGCCTCCACCTTTCTTTTTAATGATGGAGGAGGAAGATTGGCAGGTGGTCAGTTGGAGAGAAAGTTTCTTCCATCCAGTACTTGTCCTAGTCAACTTGTTTTGTTGTTATTTGTTAAGAATAGTTTATTGATTTTTAGAGAGAGAGAGGGAGAGAGGGAAACATCAATGAGAGAGTGAAACATCTGTTGCCTGCCTCCTGCACACCCCCACTAGGGATTGAGCCCTCAACCCAGGCACGTGTCCTCGACCGGGAATCAAACTGGTGACCTCCTGGGGCATGGGATGATGCCCAGCCAGCTGAGCCCATGGCCAGGGCTGGGTAACTTGTTTTTATATTCAACAGATAATACCGCCAAAAAATTCAAGTGGTGCAAATAGTATACAGTAAAAAGTCAGTGTTTCCCTTTTGTATTCTTCCAGAAATATTTGAGATATATAAAAATAAATAAAAATATATATATGACAATTTTTTTATATAAATGTTGTACACACATCGTTCTGTACTGTTTTTTCACTAACATATTACCTTTGTAGTTACTGTAAATGCATCTCCAAGTGTGATTTTTCTAGCATTCTTTTGAAAAAGTTTCAGAAGATAAAGTCAGTTAAAAATGGAAGCCTATCCTTTGGTTTGTATTCTAGAGAAGCAAACCCAGCAGGGATGAGATGCAGAGCTTATGGCAGACTATTTCTAAAATGTGGTTTTTTAAGCTACTTAATTGAAAATACTGAGTACAAAATTATCTCGAGCAAATAAGAACCCTGGAGGGAAGCACACCACCTGTTTAAAACTTCCCCGCAATATTACCCAGAAAGGAGACGATTAAACCAGACTAGATTTATTACCTCTAACTAGTGAGCAGTCTATGAAATCATGGACCATTCTGCTGTAATGAATATTTATGAACCCTTTGTTGTTACAGAGACTTGACCATATTCCTTAAAGAAACTGTATTTTATTCAACCTCCAACTCCCTGCGAAGAACTGCATTGCCAAGTTTTGGAAAAGTAATAGAATAATTTAACTTAACACACTTTCATTTTTAAATTTGGATGCCTTTCCATGTAATTAGGTTTTGCAGCCCGTGATGCTTTGCAGTCTCCCTTAGAATACTGAATATGGAAGGTTTGGGAGCTACCTGTAAAGGCCTTCAAAATCTTCTCAGAGGCTAATAGCTTTCACACCCACGATGATGCCACTGCATTTGGTGGGAAAACAGGGAGAGAGGTTTGAAGGCGCTCCGCACAAGAAGCAGTGGTGTTAGGTGAGAAGCCAGGAGGTTGGCTTCTTCCTTCCTGCAGGAGTACAGCAGCGATGCCTGAGCGTGGATCAGCATCTGTGAAGGAGGCACGGGTCCCCTGTGTGCACCATGACGTTGGTGGGAGGGTCAGAGGAAATTCACCTGGGAGTGCTTTTGAGACTTTGATGCTGTTCACCTGTCGGGGTGAAAGAGCATATTTATGAGATACAGTTTTAGGGTGAGTAGGGCATGCTTTGGAATATTTTTAGAGGAACTGTGATAAGCTCAGGTATAGAATTCTTATTAAAATTTAAATAGAATATTGGAAGTAGCATGAATAGTGAAGTTCCTTGAGGAAGGGATAGAAAGTAGTGGTAATGACAAGAAAATAATTTGTGTAGAAAGCTAGAACTTACATACCACATGCTCATCTGTTCAGTTTCAATAGTCCTTATGAGGACCCTCTAAAGAGGAGTGTGCTTCACTTTTAATGACAGGAAGCCTGAAGCCCAGGAGGCAGGGACCCGTAACCCAGGTTCCTTGATACCACTTCCTATGTTTTTTCCCCATAACCAATTTTCCTTTTTCTTGGAAGACTTTGTGAATTGTCTCTTCTCATTAGTATTATACACAGTAAATGGAAATATTGAATATCTCCCTATACTCTTAGCAAATACTTGATGATCTACAAACCTGAAGACACTTTGAAACCTGTCATCAAGGAATGAACAGAATGCCCCTCATTCACCACTTTTTAGGACAAAATGTTAAAAGGAGGTATATTTATATCAAGGAATTGAATAGGAAGTGGAATTCTTACCCACAATTCTAAAATTCTCTGTCATCACTAGAGAGGAAAAAACAAAAGGCTTAGAAATACAGCTCAAAATCACAGCTTACAGGTTGGAAGTGTTGGCAGCACACTATAATTAGGTACATTTCTGAGACCCACAGGAGGGTGTTGGAGTTTTTTCCTAATCTGCTTATATTAAAATATGTACTATGTTTCCCAGAAATCGGGAGTGACTGAGTTAATGTTGTTCAAGCATCAGGCTTGCAGAGTAATTCCAAAATCATGGCTGAGCTGCTGTGGCTTCGACACCCGGATCCACTTTGATGTAAATAGATGTGCCCAGTTAATCACTTGCTTTCTTCCCAGTCAGCTGCCAGAGTCTGGGTCTGTTCTACTTGAATAATCTTACCACTGTTGGAGAGGCTGTAAGAGCTGTAGAACAGTGTCCCATTGAGCCCCAAATGGAGCAGGGAGGGAACTGGTGGGTGCTTCCTTCTGCAGATGGGGTGTTTATGATTTGGGAAGAGGGATGCTTTCCCAGCTTTTCCCTGGAGGGAGCGCTCTTCTCACTATCTGGGCATTATTAGTGGGTCACTGAGCTGCAGCTTCATTACGAGAACACGTAGGTGCTCAGAAAACTTGTCCAGGGCAGTGAGAACGGAAACTACTTCTAGAGTGAATTATTATCAGTGATCAGGTCACGGAACAAACCTGATGCCACTTGTGGTAGTTGAAAAGGTAAGAATATATTCTTTATGATGCAAGTGAGGGTTTGTAAGATGGAAGAAGAGCAGAGCAGGAGCCTAGAGACCTGCTCCTAGACTCGGTCCTGTGTCCTGTCCTTGTGGTTTGCAGACTCTGTCCCTCTGCAGTTGTCTTCTCAAGGCAGCCGTGAGCCTTAGCTTAGTGCCATCAGTGTGAGGGCCAAGCAGTGCCCAGGAGACATGGTCTTCTGTAACTTTTGTTTTTAATACTCACAGGCTGATCCAAAAGAGCTGATCACGATGGTCACCAGGCATGTGACCCAATACGGACACGAAGCCTGGCCTGAGGACGTCGTCTCACTGACCAAGCAGCTGCACTACTACAATGAGCGGCTGCTGGATTTCACGCAGGCTCAGGTCCTGCAGGGCCTGCGCAAGGGGGTGGACGTGCAGCGCTTCACTGCGGACGACCAGTATAAGAGGGAGACGATCCTCGGTCTGGCAGAGTAAGGGACACTTTTGTCTCAGAAAGGGATGAATTTGAATGTGACAGAGCAAGTTGAATCAGCAGGGCTCTGTTTTTTAAAGATTCATTTTTATTTTTAGAGGGAGAGGAAGGGAGAGGGGGAGAGAGGGAAACATTGATGTGGTTGCTGCCTCTTGCACGCCCTCTACCCGGGGTCGAGCTCTCAGCTTGGGTATGTGCCCTGACCAGCAATCAAACCAGCAATACAGTTCCCTCTAGGCTCTGAGGCTCTGAAGCTGAGTTAAATTGTACCTATGTTTAGTGTCTGTTCCTCTCTCCCGATGTTATTTTAAAGTGACCAAGATAGTCTTGGCTTGGTAGTGGTGTCTGGCATTTTTCACTGTTGTTATTTAAACCTTTGAGAAAGCGGCAAGGCAGCCTTGAGGCCCTGTAATAATTCTACATTAACCTGACACCTTCCCTACAGGAAGACTCCACATTCTCTAATTCACGGAGTGGCGAGAACGAAGAAAGATAGTGGGAATGACCCGTGGGGGCTCAGTCAGGAAAAAGATGTGGCATAGTTTTTCCCCTCTGTCCTCCCAGTGGTTCATAATTCCACAGAGTTGGTTAATGTTCAGTTTGAAAGGGACCCCAGAGATCATGTCACCCAACCTGCTCCTATTCCGGAGAGGACTCTGGGACTCTGAGAGCTTTAAAGAGCAGTTCAGGGTCATACAGCCAGAGGTTGGATATGGACGCCCTGTTCTCAAGTCGAGAGAGCTTTCCCTTTGCGCATTTTGTACCCCTCGGTGCAGTGCCTGTGGTTTCTTAGGAAAGGGCTGGTACGCAGAATAAGAGCGTGTGAGACAAGGCCTGCCTCACGTCATCGGTTCCATCTAGCTAGGGTCACGTCCCTTTTTCTATTCCACGAATCCAGCTAGCACATGCTATTTGAGGTATGTCCTAGAGAACAAACAGACGCTTTTGATAAATGTCTCATAGAATCTTCTCCATGATCTATTGCTCAGAGAAACACACAGCCGCCTTTGGATAGCTTGTGTCAAATGTCCATGGGTTTCCTGGGCCAGCAGTTCATCCCTGCTTATGTGGCTTTGTCCACCAGTCTTTCCACCGAGAATTCCTCCCTGCCTCTCTGCTGCTGGGACGCAGACGTCCTGCACCGGCCTTTCCCAGATGGCCTCAGTGTGGGTGCTCTGAGTCAGAATTCCTTACAAGCTGTAGGCTCTCCAAGCTTGTGACACCTTTCCTGGTGTATACCTTCCATGGCCTTGCCATTGCTCCTAGGAGGAGGTGCGGGTCCCTCTTCCCCCAAGGACCCTGTGCATTCCTAGTTGTGACTCCCCCTCCCCCATTCTGCTGCCCGTTAGAACTCACCTGTCCCCTCTCCCTCTACCATCTGCTTAGTTACTGTGTGTTCAGTCTTCAGGTCAAGGTGGCTGCTCTTGTCTCTTCTCACAGTGTTTCCAGTCCTTTAGCATTTAAGTGCTGGTCCACATTTCACATCCTCCACCAGGCCACGCGTTCCTCAGGAAAACTCGTTTGTTTGTATGTCCTTAAGCCGCTAACTGCCTGGAACAGTGTGGAAAACATAAAAATTTGTTGAATGGCTGTGCTTTCTCAAACACCTACCCCTAAGGCAGGAATACATTTCATTTGCACTGTTTTTTGACTGTAGGCTGTAGGGTCTAGACCAGAATTTTTGCGACCTCCACACACTTTGGTCTGGATAAATCGTGGTTGCGGGAGGGCTGTTTCGTCAGCAGCATCCCTGACCTCTCCCCACTGAATGCCAGTAGCATTCTCCTCCTCTTCCCCCACTGTGTCCATCAAAAATGTCTATAGACATTGTCAGATATCCCCCGAAGGACAAATTTCCCTCTGTTGGGAACCACTGGTGTAGACAGTACCTGGGTCAGTTGTGATGCACCGCAGGGAGAAAGGGGCAGTAAGATTCTAGAGAGTACTTTCCCTGAGTTACATGGAGCATCTCACTAAGGACTGCTGGCTGCATCCTCTCGGCTGGAGAGCAGTCCCAGTGGACAATTCTATGCCGATTAAGGTAACGTGTTTCTCTCTCCCCTCCCTGTGGCTGGCGGACACTCTCGAAGAACCCTTGAGGAAGACGTCTACAGCATCGCTCTTTCCCTGGCGCAGCGTTACAGTGTTTCCCGCTGGGAAGTCTTTATGACCCACCTGGAGTTCTTGTTCAGCGATAGTGGGTAAGCATGTGATTCACATGTAAGCTTACGTCCATGTCTGTCTGCTCAGTCTGTTCTAGAAGAATCATGGAGTTGTAAAGTATAATTTCGCTTACTTTTCAACTGTAGTAGACCAGTACTTCTGTACACTCTCTCTGTTGACCTGTGATGCACCAATATTCTAGTAGTATCCTGTTCATTTCTGTTTTTCAGTAATAATAGTCCTGAGTTAGATACTTTAACATTCATTCATTCATTCTCAAGTTTTTCTTGAGACTCTGTTTTGTCCTAAGCACTAGATACTGGGGCTACAATAGTGAGCAAAGCAGGCACTCAGCCGTCTTGGAGTTCGCAGTGTGTGGGAGACAGATGGCCATGGAATAGCGACGGAAGCACATGTGAGATCGAAACTATGAGAGGTGCCCCGCCCTGTGAAAGCCCAAACGGGCCTCGGCATTGTTAGGGAGGCTCTGCTGAGGAAGTAAGTCCAGCTGAGACCTCACTATTGAGTTGAAATTAGCCATACAACAAGGAGAGCAGGGAACCATTGTCTAGGGAGACAAAGCAGGAAAGTGCCAAAGCTCTTTGACGGGAAGGAACATCATGTCTGTGAGGGCTCAGCAGGTGGACAGGGTGGGGAGGCCCCCAGAGGCGGGAGCCAGTGCGAGATGGGACCTAGCAAAAGCCTGGAAGCCAGACCACGCGGCGAGACTATGCAAGCCTTCTCAGGGCTGTGGGCTTTTTCCTGAGTCATAGGAAGCTGTTGAAGGATTTGGGTAAAGGAAAAGGAAATAATATGATCAGATTTACATTTTGGTAAGGTCACTTTGGTTACTGTGTTGAGAAAGATTTTAGGGCGGCCAGGGCAGAGCTATATCAACCAGTTATGGGGCTATTACAGTGATGGACTGGGTGACAGGTGACCACAACTTGAAGTCGGGTTTTGAGAGTATAGAAGGAGAGGTGAGACTGGGTTTCAGAGATGTCCAGCAGGTGAAATAGATGATAGTACTTAAGTTGATTAATAAACGTCAACTAGATATGGAGATGAGTGAAAAGGGAGGGCTCAGGAATCATCTCCAGTTTCACTGGGTCTGCCTGTGGGGTGGTGACGTCACTCCGGGAGCTAGGGGGGTAGAGTGGGGGGTGTATAACAATTAAAGACACAGCGCTTCAGGGGAGGGTGAGAAATTACACATCAAAATACCCAAGGGCAAAGGTCATGAAGGCAACGATGCTTATGGATGTAACTTCACAGGAGAAGAGGGAGCTGGAAATATTGATTTAGAGTCACACACACATGGATGATACAAGAGGCGTGTAGTGGGCATGCAGATTGAAGGGTCAGAGCCTGCCCAATAGTCCAGAATGCTTAAAACTAGGCATCTTTAATTTTATTAATCACTGTGAAATTGTAATGTCTTCATGTTAAGTATTTGTGAAATTACTACATGGGTGATAGTGTTATCTACAATAAATATTGAACTGCATCAGTTTTGGGGTACAGTAATCTGTTCAGATAAATGTTTCTTATGATATACATGTTGGCATTTATAAATACCTTGGCATTTTATTAAATATCTTTTTCTTTCATTGAATGTTATTACATAAAAGGATGTCATATCTGTACAAACAGGATGCTTCCCCAAATCTCTGAACATATTATAAATTATCAGGCAATTAAACACTATGCAGGACTGTTCAGTGCCTATCATCAGGCCTGATAGCACTGTGATTACCTGGATGCGCGGCAATCGCAAGAACAGGAAATCGCCACCTCCTGGCGGCACTGCTCGGGAGTGACGAACACCTCATGTTGATTTAGCCAGTGGTGTCTGGTGCTCCCTGTTCTTTACTTAAAAGGCAGTAGTTTGCCTTGCGATTCAATCAAACCTGGTAGCACAGGTATTAGAAACCAGCCTTGTAAATACAATAGAAATAACCCAGCATTTATTTGTTGAGTCAATGCCAATGGGAAGTTAATGAGTCAGAGTCACAAGAAAATTAGTGTTGTTTGCCTTGGGGTTTTATTTTACTGTTCCTTTAAGACACCCCCACCCAATTGATTTCCATGTAATTTTACCTTCTCCTTCCTTTTGGTTGAATTTGTGCCTGAGGGTTGCTGTTGCTCTAGTCAGGCTTGAGTGTAGGTCCCTCACTGTAAAGAATTTGGAATTCTGGCCTTTTCCGTCTCCTGCCTCAAAGATGCTGGCTTAGCTGGGAAGTTGGTGTGAGAATGATCAGTGTGCGGAGAGAGGATGTAAGATAGGTAGCTTATTAAAAGTATATCATATCGTTGAACATGAAAATAAATAAAATTCAGGCCCAGGAAAAATCCGTGTTAGAGCAGGAAGGTTGAGTGTGGAGATTCGGGCCACGGGGCTCACACGGTGGTTGTAATTGAGCTGTGTATTTGGTTTCGATCTTTCTTTTGGCCTAAGGGGAGGAGAGAACCAAGATTATGGTGTGTATTGTACACAAGAGGAAATCCGTCAGTCCTGAAAACGGAAGAGCTGATTACTGCCGTTACCAGAATGGCAGCAATTCCATGCATGTCCCTGCAACCGTCCTTTTCATGTGCGATCTTCAGGCCCTGTCTGAAGGATCAGTCAAATGCCCCTGGCAGTGGCACAAAACATAAGCAGGACGATGGGTTTTGGCCTGTTTCTGCCCAGTGGAAAGTGCTCAGGTTTTGATTGTGGAAATCCGGGCTTAGACCCCGGCCCTGTGACCTTCCCCTCCTGTGTTCTGGGTGAACAAGCTGTTTTATCCCTCTGTGCGTCAGCTTCCCTATCTCATTCATTTCTCAGAACTGCTGTGAGGCTTAAGAGGTTTATACAAAATACCTGACCTGCAGTAGGTGCTCAAAAGAAAAACAGTAGCTGCTGCTGTTAGTTCTAGAAACAGGCCAGGTTTACAGGTCTATCTGATGAGCACTGTTAGCCTAATATTGCACATCTGACTTTTGGGCAATTATTTTCCAAGTCAGGATACCAGTTTTATCTGCTTTGTGAGAAGTAAATGAGATGACCTTGTGCTTAGTATAATAAGTGCTCAATATAAATACTGCTATCACTATTTTTGTGCTATCGTGTCTCAAAACATTTTTTGTTAGAATAATATGAGACTATAAACCAATCAGAATTGACATTTGATGAAAAGTTAAAGGGCTTAAGGGTCAGGGTTGTCCTATGGAAGAGGAGACAAGCTTCTTCCCATGGCTCTCCTTGTCACCACTGTTCATCTAAAACATTCCACAAAGGGACCCACTGAGTAATCGTGTAACAGGAAATAAACTGAGACACTTATTAGTGATCTTCTTGTCAGCTGTCTAGTTGACTTTGACAAGTTAAATTCCATTTTTTGGTTTACAAAGACGCTTGGCGAAAATGTTGGCCAGAAGGAAAAATGCCATGATGCTTTTGCCTACCTCTCTCTGCATGTTCACATGGGCAGCTGTCAGGCGGCTTTGCAGGTCAGGCCTGCCAAGTCACATGTCACGTTCATTCCGAGGCATTTGTGGGTAAGTCCTTGCATGTTTCCTATAGGCCAGCGTCCTTGACCCTGAGAGGATAGGCAGACTTGTTTCTTTCTACAGGAATCAGGGTGGAGCCCTGTTCACCCTCTATTGTGGTCATAAGTTTGGACTCATAAATCTTAAGGGTCATTGGATTAGTCTTTGGGGAAATGCCTAGAAGTTACTGCACCTGAGCAGGTGAAGCCCTCTCCCGATCTCTCTGTTCTCTCTCCAGCCTCTCCCAGCAGCCCTCTCCCTCTCCCGTTCCTCCTCTCTCCCCAACTCCTGAGTACTCCTTACTCAACTAATGGAACTGAATTAACACGCAGGTCCTCAGACTGGGTAAAGAAATATGCATTTAAATAAATCAGTTTTCCTATGTGAGCATAAGACATGTTAGTACGTGCTGTTCATGAATTATATTGTTGGGTGATTGGCAACCTGGAGCCATTACAGAGCACGCTGACCATGGACTCAGTACTGACAATTTATTCCTGTGCTCTGAGGACAACCACTGCTAATTTCTTCCTGTGGTTAATCTCTGAGAGTTAAATATGCACTATATAAAGGTACAAGCTGAATCTTGGTTCAAGGAAAAGCACTTAAACGGCTTCTAAGGTGATCGTTAATGTGATTAGTGGAAAGTCTGCCATGGTATCCCAGTGTTCCATCCTACTCCCTCAGATGTGGGTTCTTTGGAATTGTTTTCTAAGCAGAGATTTCAGTTTTTGTTTCAAAGGGAAGATAGTAGCTCCTTTCGATGGAAGCTATTAAAATGGGCTGTTGATTACTTGCACCCATAAAAGATCCCAGCACATTGTAATTTACTGAAGAGGGAGGTTCTGGTATTTATCATGTGTCAGTAAAGGTATTCCAGGTTCTCCCTTGACAAGAAAATTAGGTAAAATTGCACATTGGGCAAACTAAATCGTGGGCGCAGAAGAGTAAGTGGGCGGGCGAGAGAATGTGAAGCTGATTGAGGGAGACTGCTCGGAACCAGGTCGGCACAGGTGAAGTAAAGGTGTTATGACTTAGCCACTGTCCGTCCACCTTGTAGATGAGTCCGCCTTGAATGCTCTGTTTCTCAGCGTTGTTAGCAATCAGTGTGACTGGAGAACTCGTTTCAATTATTGCTCTTGGAGAGACAACTAATGCCCGGGTTACAGAAAGAATCGGCTTTTGAAATTGCAGGCACATGACCTTGTCAGTCAACAGCTTTTTTGCCATAGGTGAACAAAGCCACACAGAGCCCAGGCAGGTCTGCTGCCAGGTCTCAGGCGAGTCACCTCACCTCTCTGACTGCTCATCTGTTGGTTGTAATTACCTAGATTTAACCAGCCTGCCATAGCAACCAGCATAGTAAGTGCAGGCTCTTCCCTCCTCCACTCGGCACGTTCTGCCTGCAAAGCCTCGTCAAAACGGCTCATCTCACTGGGCCTACATGGGTTCGTGTTTACCTCTTCACAACATCATTTTCAGGCCTCGCTTCGCAAGTGGTGACGGGGAGTCAGAAACTTGGGAAGTCCCTTGCACATTGCACTGTGTGCGCACTACGTTTCCTGGGCGACGTTGCGTATTTTGAATAGTGCCAGTATCAAGAGCATATTCGGACCAGCCGTCCATCTACTCCGTTTCTGTACAGGCCTGTACTTTCCTGACACTTCGTTCACATTCTTTTTGTTCCATTCCTCTCCGTAGTGCCAAGCTCAGGCACTGCCTTCCTTAAGCCTCCTGTTGTCGCTGACATCTGCTGCTTTGAAGTTCAAGCTTGAGTGACCCTGCTCCTGACTGGAATAAGATTGCATAGAATTGTGTGCCGCTTGTCAGCCGGAGCCATTGTTTTGCATTGTGGTTTAATTCTGAGTTTTTATAACTCAACTGGGTTTTCAGATGGCAGGACGAGAGCTTGATGTTGTCAGTCTTTCCACCCTCCCCGTGTGGAGCACAGTGACTGTCCATAGAGCACTCCTAGGCTTTGTTCCTCCACCCATCTCTTGGGCACATGTGTTGGATGTGTTCTTTGTACCACAAACAAAGATGCTGAGAAGCTACAGGTCAAGGAGATGTGGTATCACCTTTGCCTTCAAGTGGTCCACACTGCTGTTACCCTAAGTATTAGCACTCATAAAAATTTTAAAACATAATTTTTGTTAACTTTACGTAAACCAAAACATGTCTTTGCACTTTCTAAAAATGAGAATTCCAGTAAACAATGTATCATATTTCAAAGGAGTGGCTTTGAAACAATGTGCCTCTAACTTGGACCTTGCCAGAAGTCTCACTTGCTGTACTCAGGCACTTCCCATGCTGCCACCCAGAGCCGTGGAAACTGGACATTTCTGCTAGGGTGATGGCCCCTGACTCATCCTGCCCGGGGTGTCAGAATTACTCTGGCTGAGGCTCTGTGCCATGAATAGGAAGAAGCACAAGACCAGAATTAAGCCCCCCCCTCCCCTTCACCCCTCAAAATGCAAACTCCTTAAAAATTTTTCTAACAGTTTATCCTTAAGGAACATTTTTATTGTATTGTAAGGACATCTGAGTCAAGATGAAAATAAGACGTGTTTTTATGTAGGTGGCATTCATGACTGCAGCTAATTCACATGAAAGTGGTACCTGTTCTTGCTGATTTTAATTTTATTGTCAAATTTGGGTCTATCCAGTATCAATTCAAGGCTCTTGGTTGTAATACTTATGCCTAAAAATTGGGGTGGTTTCTTCCCTCATGGATTCCTAAATTCCTGAAATAATAAGGTTGTTTACATTTCTTAACGAAGCTCCAACTTTAATTTTTCTTGTGGCATGAATAAATAATGCATGTGGAAGCTGACAGATCTGGGTTCATTTCCTAGCTATTGAGCCCTGGGCACCTCTCCCAATGGCAGGGGTGGGAAGTGGTGGCTACAGGGATGCTGCCTGCAGGGATGCTCGACCCCAGAAGACCACATGAAAATTGTATAGAATAGCATAGGCGTTCAACAGGTTCATTTTCCTTTATATGAATCTCCTGCATCTTGGTGGTTTACTGCCTCTGGATTAGAAAAGAAGATCTTGTTTAATAAAGGAACCAAATTTTAACACAATTTCTTTGTCCCTTCATTTCAGTTTGTCCACAGTAGAGATTGAAAATCGAGCCCAAGCCCTTCGTCTCTTTGAGACTTTGAAGACTGATCCTGAAGCCTTTCACAAGCACATGGTCAAGTACATTTACCCCACCATCGGGGGCTTTGATCACGAGCGGCTGCTGTACTATTTCACCCTCCTGGAAAGCTGTGGCTATGTGGATCTGGGGAAGTCTGCCATTAAACCCGAAACCCACATTCGGCTGCTGAAGAAGTTTAAGGTAGTCGCCTCAGGTAAGATGATCATTTCCTGGCTTGAGCTCATTTTTTTATTGATTTGAGAGAGAGAGAGACAGACAGACAGACATAGACATCACTTTGTTCCACTTATTTGTGCACTCATTGGTTGATTCTTATATGTCCTGACCAGGGATTGAACTTGCAACCTTGTTGTATTGGGATGATGCTCTAACCAACTGACCTACCTGGCCAGGGCCTTTGAACTCATTTTTGAAGTTAATCTAGGGATTAATTTTCTGGACATAGTCATGTTCGTGCACCGTGGCTGGTATAGATCTGAAACCACAGGATTTTGATGCTAATTTTCTTTAGTTATTGTCTTTTCAACTCCTTCATGTATGGTTGGGGGAATTACATGCCAGAGAAACTAAGAAACCTATTAAAAATCACACAGGTTATAGTAGATCTGGTACTAAAATCCAAAGTTTTGACTCCAGAGGTTTTTTTTCTGTTCCCATTGGTAATATTTTATCTGTATACAGGACAAGTCTGAGACACTTTACAATAGGCATCGGCAGAACTACCTCAGTGGAGCCTGTGTGTTTAAAGCATATGTGGAGCCCATTAAAATAAGAACCTTTGAGTCTTTGGTAAATTGTTGAAATCTTTAGAAGGGTGTCTGTGTATCTTTATGCTCATGATGAAGGAATTAAACACAGTGATACCCCTCAAATATCTATGATAATTTATAATTTACAAGGCACTTTCAGATCTATGCTTAATATTCATGGCAATTATGAGAATTTACTGCAGTTTGTCAGTGGTTTACTGAGTAACCACATTAGACACTGGAGTGGACACAGAGGACAAGGAGTGCATCTCTTCTCTGTCTTCAGGTAGTCGATGAGATGCCAGGTGGATAACACATGAATCCAGTGCAGTGTGGTGAGGGCACCGCTAGGGGGAAACGGGCCATGGAGGGACTAAAGAAGCCAGGAGGTCTGACTATCTCCGGTGTCCACGTGAGGAGGCTCAGGCTCACAGAAGTGAGTGACTTGTCCGGGATTGCAGAGTTGACCAAGTCGCAGGCTGGGACCAGAACTAGGATCTTCTGATGTATCTAGGGGGCAGCTCAGTGATGAGCTACAACTAAACTGCTCAATGAATCTCTGCATTTTGCTGCACAGAGGGCTGGGTGTGTGTTTGAAGCCTCCAAGCGCTTACGTTGGAGAGAACTCTCTTTTTTCCTTCTCTTTCCAATAGGTCTCAATTACAAAAAGCTGATAGAGGAAAACACGGACCCTCTGGAGGCACTGGAGCCAGTCCTTTCAAGTCAGAACATCTTATCCATTTCCAAGCTTGTTCCCAAAATCCCCGACAAGGATGGACGGGCGCTCTCCCCGAGCTCCCTATACACCATCTGGCTGCAGAAGTTGTTCTGGACGGGGGACCCTCACCTCATTAAGCAAGCCCCGGGGTCCTCGCCAGAGTGGCTCCGTGCCTTCGAGGTCTGCGGGAAGTACTTTGATCGCCTCCACCCAGGGGACCTCATCACGGTGCTGGACGCAATTACATTTTCTCCAAAAGCTGTGACCAAGGTAACCAGACCTTTGCTTAGGGCAGATGGAACCTTTTAGAGGAATGAAGTTGCTCTTACGTTCTGTAGATGCTGTTTCTGTTTCTTTCCTTGAAATGGGGGATAGTCACAGGTGTGGCGTTTTAGCTTTTTGCAAAGCATGAGGTGTTTGAATTGAGAAATTGCTGTCCTCTGTCACAGATGCCCAGGAAGTTCAAGTATTGGAGGGGAGGGACTCAGCAGAGAGGTGACTTGAAGTCCCAGGAAATGCTCCAGAGCTGGGACCTGGGACCTGGTTGGAGGGGTGGGACAAGGGAATAGACCCTCCAGGAAGGTGGAGGGGTCTTTACTTCCCTCAGGCCGAAGGAGGGTCACCTGTTTTATGTGAGGCTTACCCCGTGGGGCTGAGGCAGTGAATCATGACCTTGCTCCCTCAGTTCAGATGGTGTCATCCTCAGCAAGATAGTCTGTTGTTGCAGACTGTCCCAGGAGGCAGTTTTCTGCTGCGTCAGGTTAATCTGAGACAAGTGAGACAGAGACATTTGAAATTAATTTTGTGTCTGCAGTCTAGGTTTGTATTTTTCCTCACTTTATTAATTGGCAAGCTTTAATTTTCCATTCAGCGAGGAAAAGCATAAAGTTTAGATACATGCGTGTTTGAAGTCACGTAACACTACACAGAGAGAAAAATTCACGCTGCAGAGCAGCCGCATGTGGCGGAGAACACATTGGAAAAGGAAGTGCAGTTGGATTTGGCCAAATCGGCAAAACACCAGCTGTTCCCACAGCTTATGCAGGATGGTAAAAATGTGAAATAAGTGAATATGCTACTCATACATAGTATGCAGTTTTCAAATGCATGCCCACCCTGGATGCATAACCAGACTTTGGAAAGAACTGGTGAACTAACTCTAGAGTGTGTGACAGGAGCAGTAAGTGATTGTTCAGAGGCCAGAATTCAGAGGGGAACAGCCCCGAAGCCTGAATGTGGTGCCCCTTCCACGATAACATGAACCAGGGAAGGCTCCTTGCCCTCATGATCATAGTCATTCAGTTACCGTTTGCATTTGCGGTGTCACAGAAATTCTGGGGAAGTCTTCCCAGCGTGGATCACTCACGCAGGCAGAGGCAGAGTGCGTGGCCCTCAGGCAATGGGCATGCAGAAGGAGAAGAGTACGAAGCTGGGAAGTGCGTTTGCTCCGATTCTCCATCGTTTCTTTTGGGTCAGTCCCGTTGGTTGGTTGGTTGATTGGTTGGTTGTGGTTGGTTGGGTTGCTTTTCTATTGCTTTTTCATTCAGTAATTAGCAACATTTTTGTAGAAGGGACGGAGAACAAGTCAGTGGGTTAGGAATCCAGGGAAATGGTCAAAGATGCTGCAGTGCAGGTCACACCCTATTGGCGTGGTTCAGACAGGCTGTGGTTTATACAGGGAGGAGCTTGCACGTAATCTCAGCCTTCCTGCTTTGTACTCCCTACTCGCCTTCAATTGCTGGTGTAGATACCTGCATAAATAAGGACATGAAAAGTACTCCTCTCACTCATTAAATGCCACCCAGAAGTTTGCTGGGACCCTTCTTGGAAAACCCTAGGTAATCACAGAATTAGAAGAGGCCTTGAGTATGCTTCTTGGAGCTTGCATCCTGGGTTGAATAGGCATTTGCCCCCTCACCCCACCTGCCCACGCCCTCTGTTTCAGCCCCCACTGTTTCTCTGATTCTGATGGGTGTGCCCTGTCTCCTCTGGATTAGGGCAGAAACTATTTGAGAACCTCTGATCTACTTTGGCCTCTGACCTTTAAGCATCATTCCTATGGATAATTCAGCTGCTATCCCTAACACACACACACACACACACACACCCATCTTTCTTTGGGCTCCTCATAGCTTCCACTTTTTGGTCTTCCTTCTGGAGCCATGGAAACAGCATCGGGGAATCTACTTTTCACATTATGACAGTTCAGATTCTTGAAATAAGCTACTGTTTTCTCCCTTATCCTATTATCCAGACTCTTTGACATAAAAATCTAGAAGAATAAATCTATCCTAAAAACCTTATGACTTAAACGTCCACCTTATTTAATAAGCTTACATGTCATTCAGGAGGCTGTGTTGTAGCTGTACCTTTAAGGTCTTCACGGTGCTAATACCACCTTTTCACGAAGGATGGCAGCATGCTTCTCACCGTAGTGAGCAGTCGGTGTCCGAAACCCCTGTAAGCACATCCAGATGAGGCACACTACCTAACCACATGGCAGGACGCATGACCTCCTGATGCATCACTCAAATGCATGTTATGTAGATTAGACTGAATCACTGAGTATTTAGGCATTAGTTATGTGCTATATGTAATATTAATGGCCATTGATGACATTAAGATATTCCTCTAAGGAACTTAAAATGAAGTTTTTTCTTTATAGGAAAATGATTAATATTGAGAATTTAATGAAATTCTGCTCTGCTCATGGGCAGATCTTAGAAAGGAAGGGAAGCACTAGCCAAGCATAACCAGTTGCTTCTCCCCATGTCGTCGATGTCACTCCTCCTCTCCCAAGTGACAGGGTGGAGAGAGAAGCAGAACTTACCTTTTTGGGGCCCATAGGGGAGCTTCTGTCACATTCACCCCCACACACTCATACCCTCACACACAAACACGCATGTGCTCACATTAAATTTCCCCAGGGAGTAACCTTTTTGGTTGCATATCACTGTCCAGTGTAGAGCAGCCTCAGAGGACAAGCTTCACAGGCCATTGTCCAGCCCCTACGGGGCTGCCTTTGGTGCAAAACCAGTCCCTGCTCCCACCAGCTGTGCTCAGGTTATGAAGAGGTTTCTTGCCACACAGATAGCCTATTTTAAAGCACCCCTTCTGGCTCCTTCTGGCAGGGATGTGGAATAGCAGTCATGCTAAATATCGTGACCTGTAGAAGTCCACGAATTGTCCCTTAAATGTCAGTATTGCCCTGTAATAGTAAGGGGAAACTAATGCTTCCTCCTGAAGTCCATCACGGTCATCCAGGCTGCACCTGAACCTGGGGTAGATTAACCAGTTCCCCCACTTACCCTTCAAATCCAACCTTCCAAACAGTTACAGGAGAAGGAAGAGAAGATTTATTGTACGGTTACCCTGTAGACTAAATACTTTCATCACCATTGTAACAGAAAAGAACATTTAGCTCAAGGAAGTTAAATATCTGTTCCAGCATTTTATGGAAAAGAAGTGAGAGTCAGGATTCACACATAGGCCTGCTCCCAAATCCCGCTTTCCGCCGTTTCCCTTGCCTGAAAAATCTGGCTGCAAAAGCTCTCTGGGGTGATCGTGATTGTGGGCCTGACTGGCAAGCTGAAGGCTCATTCTCTGTTTGTGCTCGGAAAATTATTGCAAATTGGCTAAGGTAATAATTTAGTGAGAGAGATTGAAAGCTGGCCAGAAGACCACATGCGCAGCCCAGTCGTAAATGCTAATGTGTCGGCTCCTGAGGAGGCGTCTGGCAGCCGCAGCTGTGGCCCTTGCAGCCCTGCGTTAATAAGTGCGGGGAGGAGGCCCTTCCTTTCCCGTGAAATGTGTGGGCTCCAAACTCCCAGGGAGTGGATGTCTTGGGGAAGAGAGGAATTAACACTGCAGAATACTATGCAGCAGGTACCAAGGCATACTTTAACATGAAAAAGCAGTGGGGAGGGAGTGTGGAGGTAACTCCCGCTGAACGTGCTCTGTCTGGCAGCTTTACGGCTCTCTTCACGGCTGTCTGCAGTGACATGGACCTCTTTACCTCCCATTCGTCGTCCATCCGATACACTTCCCCCTCACTTAAGATAACAGTATAATTTCCAGTATCTTGAATATTGACGTTTAAAGTAAAACCGCTCTGAGCTCTGTTTGTACTCCGGGCTGGCTGCACTTACAGTGATCTGAGATGTTCCCCTGTCCCTGCAGAGCAAACACATCTTCAGCAGTTAGAGCCGTTGCATGTTTTCTGTTTCTACTTTGTTTCTTTCGTCGAAGAGAAGTAAAGCCAGACTCTGGTTTTATTTAGTGATAACGACTGCAGCGGGGAAGCCAGTCCATATAGACTGAGTGACTTCTCCCAAACAAAAGGCAGGAGACTATGAATGGTGAGGGCCGATGGGCCTATCCCCAGTGTTGGCTGCAACGACAGTGCATTCTCCTGGCAGCGTGGGCATTCTTGATATTTTAGGAGGGACTGTGGTCACCCTAATGGCCTCTGGCAGCTGAAGGTCACCCTTGGATTTGATCAGGCCTCTTAGTGAGAGAGTGTGGACAGAGTTGTTTTGTGCTGAGAGGTTTTGCCATTCACTTTCATGTAATTTTATCTTAATGAGGTACTTTTATGCTTCAAAGTTGTGTTTCTCTGTATCAAAAATAATTCCAGAAATTGAAATGAACATTTAAAGTTTTTACTGTGAACCATAGGGCTCTAGTATATTTTTTAGTATAACTCTACATTAAGTTCTTATCTGAATTATTGCATTGTACATTAGGTCAGAACAACACAGATGCATTAAAATTTTGATAAATAAGTATTAACTATAAAAATAAAATTGTAATTAAAATGTACATCTTAATGAGGTGGGTAGGGCTTTCAACATTGTTTCTAATTAGTTTATGTGCCCTTGGATGACTGTTAGTTATAGCAAATTGAGATTGCATTCAGCATCAGTTCTTTCCATTTTGCATTTTTATAGATACGAATATTTAGAGGCCTTGTTCACATGGTGGGTGGGGAGGGAGTTATGTCATAACAGTGCCCCTTAATCCTTTGAATGCCCTTCAAGCTATCAGCCCAAAATCACAGAGTGATTTATTGTTAAAAATGATTTTTAATGACTTTATCAGCTGACAGCTCAGTTAGATTCTTCATAAATTTTGTTGAAAGTAAAGAATTGAAAACTGAGTGACATGCATAAAGAAATTTTCTATCCACAAGCCCTGGCTCAGTTGGCGAGAGTTGTCCCAGTACACCAAGGTTGCGGGTCTGGTCCCTGGTCAGGGCTCATACGAGAACCAACCAGCGATGCATAGATAAGTGGAACAACAATCGATGTTTCTCTCTCTCCCTCCTTCCCCCCTCTCTCTAAAATCAATCAATAAATGATCTTAAAAGTGGAAAAAAGAAAGTTGCTATCCAGTTATTGGAACCATTTCACACAACGGTGGTTTGAACTGTCCCTTTGTTGGGTGTTCTGGAGCCTTTTAGACTCCGGGACAGTGTGTCACGTCAGATTCGGGAAGAGTGTGGGCCTGCCTTTCTGTGTAAGCAGAGGCTGGCTTGTGGTGAAGGGGTGGACAGAGGGCAGAGTCGACACCCCGACTTCTGGCACGTTCTCAGGAAGGTCAGTTTTAGGAAACAGGAGTTAGAGGAGGTAAAATTTAGAAACCAGTTCCCTTAAAACTGTCTGCATCTGCATATCCTTTGCAAAGACTGCGTGAGGGTGGCATACACACCCCTGTTTGAAGACCAGGGCCCTAAAGGAGAGGGTGTAGTTTCCCTACGTGGCACTGTGGTGACCCAGCCCCCCTTCGTCTCGTCTCCTACAGGACAGTCAGTCCCTGTCTGATCACACACAGACCGTCCACATGCACCCCAAGACTCCCCTCGCCCAGAATACGTGGTCAGATGTATGTTTGTAAGATACAGCTCTGCTACTAGTGATGCTGGAGTAACCGGTTCACCCAGAACCACAGTGGTTTAACTTAACACAGCAAAGGCTCATATTCCCTCATGCTCTTATCCCAGGGAGGGGCCCAGACCTGTACCACAGTCACGTGGGGTCCCGGCTGATGGCTGCTCCACCGTCTGGGACCAGTGCCCCCCTCAGCTGCCGTGGCTGGGACAGAAGGGAGATGGGTATTAGCACTTTAAAAAATCTCTGTTTACGAGTTTAATAGTGCAAATGGTATTTCACCATTTCTGTTTTCTTCACAGAAGAAAAATCAGTATAACAAAAGTCCTGCTTGCTGGTTAGAGTTGCGTGTATTAAAATTTCACTTTCGTTCTCTCTGTCTCACTAATACCTTGTTCAGTATGCCATATAATAACGTAGGGCTGGTTTGGCTCACTATTGCTCACTACTTTCTTTTAAGCTGTCCGTGGAAGCACGTAAAGAGATGACTAGCAAGGCTATTAAGACAGTCAAGCATTTTATTGAGAAGCCACGGAAAAGGAATTCAGAAGAAGATGTCCAAGAAGCTGTGGATTCTAAAGTGACCTACGCAGACACCTTGAGTCACCTGGAGAAGTCACTCGCTCACCTGGATACCCTGAGCCACAGCTTCATCGTCTCTCTTCAGAGCAGTGAGCAGGTAGTGAAACGAACACTCTCCTGAGCTCAGGGGCCCAGCTTGTATCAGCATTTCTTTCATTCAGCCTTTAAAGCTACATCAGTGGTTCTGATAGGGTTTCAGTATTGCAGACATCCTTGAAAAGGGTCCTCAAGCCTTTGTCTTTAACCCATTCACCATCACCTGATAGCCAGTTCAGTTTCACTTCTTTACAAAGGATTTTAGGCCACTTCACATGATTGATAACCTGGGAGGAAGGAAGCGAGGAGATGGGAGGGGAGGGGTTGGTCCCATGCTGAGGAGGGGACAGGCGTGGTTGGACAGCCCACGTCTAGCCAGCAGCTGTTGTGCTTTTTAACTGAATAATGATAGGTTTTTCCCCCTGAATTTTCAGAAAATTTTAGAAATCACCACCCCTGCCTGTTTCAATAGTTCTTTTTAATTGAGTGTATTCAGTCTGTTTTTGTTTCATGTTTTCAATATGACTTGGTTATTTATTGGTATGAAATTTTTTGCTAGTGAAATTGTTCCCAGTGGGTTTGTAGCTGAGACCCTCCTGGTGTGTCTGAGAAAGCACCCTCATGAGATCAGGAGCCCCTCCCACAAGGTGTGAGGTGTGAGGACCAGTGTGTTAGGGCTGCACGCAGACGCCTCCGTCGCCTTCGGAGCGTTTGTCCTGGATTGTCACGTGGAACAGTCATGAGATTTTAGATATTCTTTCCCATAACTGAAAAGCTGACAGGCCAGTAAGTACCTGGTTTTCATGTAAATGAAAACAATGTTTAGATTTATAAGTTTTTTAAAAAAAATTTAATGCTGTAGTAAATGAACCTGTGAGTGGCCACTAACCTCATCATTTATTTTTCTGAGATATTACATGTTTATTGAATTGTATTCTTGTAAAAAAAAAAATTCCTGACTAGAAAGGGCAGTCAGTGGAGAGGAGTTCAGATAGTCAGCAACAGGAAGACGTCAAAACTTGTGTGAGACTCATAAATGCCAGCCCCACATGGAAAAGACAATGGCAGGGCTTCCAAGTGCAACAGCCTTTCATTTCACTGTGTGTCTCTGGGCCTGCTGGCCTCCCTGATGATAGCGTTAGGTACTGGTGTGAGGAGTGTCAAAGCCTCCAGGGAGCAAAGTGGCTTCACCAGGTGTAACCCATGGTTACGGGAACTAGGGTAAACGTTGACTATTTAGGTGGTTTATACCTATCAGGGCAAAACGTTTTAATTAAAAAAAACTAAAATTTAAAAATATTTGTTATTTTAAATCAAATATATTACATTCAACTTGAAGAATTGTCGTTACTCTCCGTGGAACATGTATTGTCTTTCAGTGACAAAACTTATGTGTTGGGGCCAGGAAGGTTATTAAAACAGCCCTTTGTTTCAGCGAGGCTGTGACTTACAGGTAGTAGGTGGCTGCTGTGCCTGCAGCTCAGTCAGACCAGGGTGGTCTGCAATGGAAGACTCTGGTTCCTAGAGTGGGCGTTATTTGATTTTATTAAGGAGCGTTTCATAGCAAATCCTGGAGGTAAACTTTCAAGGTCATGCATTTGTCCCTTTTAAGTGCCAGCCTTGATTTTACCTCTAGTTATACCCCCCGTGAAAGAGCATCTTACAATTCAGGAAGGTTAGACCCATCTAAGGAAAGGCCTAATCCCATGGGGCTCAGCTGCCTCTTGGCTGAGTGAGGATGCTACAAGGGACAGGTTTTTTTTAAACAGTGTCACAATGGGGAGGAGAGTAAAGCAGAGTCTCATGTGGCCGATCCCCAGATGCAGCAGTTATCTAGAGGTGACCAGACGTATTCTGTGCTTCCCCTGGCCACCCTCATCCTGCTCCTGGAGATTATTTTAAAGAAAACCCCAGTCATCATTTATTTTATCCATAAATACTTCCATATCTATTTCTAAAAGATACATTTAAACATAACCACAGCAACATTATAACAATAAAAAATAACTACGAGAAATTCTTCAGTATCATCAGATATCCAGTTAACGATCACATGGTCGTTTGGAAAGACAGAATTGTATGTTCAAGGTTACTCGTGAATCTTTGGAGAACCTGGAAAGTGCTGTTAACATGAAGTGACCGTATTTGGTGTGCTGACAACAACAGTCTGTGTCCTATTTCTTAAATTATTGTCATATTTAGTTTTTATAGATATCATCAACGAGGGACAGGCAGTGTGACCTGGGGCTGGGGAAGGAGCTTTCAGATTCTAACCCCGACTCCCCCAGTGGCTGGCTGTGTGACTTTGGGCACATTGGCATCTTTGGTCTTCAGTTTCCTTTTTGATAAAATGGAGCTAATTAAACCCCTTTGAGGGGTTGCTATAAACATTAGCTTGGATGACATACATGTATACATGGGTGTCCGTGGTAGATGCTCAGTAGATTGTAACAGTTGCATGGCTGTAGCCTGATGATGGTAATAGAGGAACTAGCGCTTCCTGAGTATGGCCATGTGCCTCCATCGTGCTGAGGGACTGACTATCGTTTCATGAATGTTCTAACACCCTCTGTTCATGAGAACCTGCTGCCCTCATCCTGGCTGATGGAGACTGCAGTTGGAGAGCACAAAGGCCCACTAATAAGTGGGTTTGCCTTCCAGCCTGGCTGGCCCCAGAGCCCACCTCTTAACAGCCAATACATGCACTTCAGTGGAATTTGCGGTTGCCCTGTATTTGCTTCAAAAAGCTCCTAAATGCTTCACTATGGCCATGTAGACATTTCATTTCCATTGGATATTTAGGTGTTGAATTCCACTTTTTTTTTTTCAGGAAATACTGCAGAAATACAGTCGCCTGTATGATCTGTCCCGGTCAGAAAAAGGGAAGCTTCATGATCAAGCCGTGGCCATGTGTTTGGATGGTCAGCCTCTCGTGATGATTCAGCAGCTGCTCGCTGTGGCCGTGGGCCCTCTTGACCTCTCGCCCAAGGACGTAGTCCGGAGTGCAGTAACGAAAATCATCTCTGCGTTGAGGTAAGCAATACAGTAGCCAGTGAGGAAAACCTGAGGGGACGTTCTGCCAACCGCAGTGCTTGTTTCATGGCTGTTGCGAAGATGAGATACCATCTTGCACATAGAAGCTTTTCATGAACATGACGTACTGTATAGAAGTGAGAGATAGATTATTATTAGATTCCTCAAAGTCCTATGTCTTGAGAAAGGAGAACCATGAAAATGTTTCAGTATTGGTATTGTGTGTAATATGTCAAGAAAGTCGCTAACTTCCGGTTAGACGCCCCCTCCCTCCCAGCTATTCCAGAAATGAGGGAGAGGCCCAATGGCCTGTGAAGCAACCAAGTGTCCGGCTGTCCTGCGACCTCAAGGAGGATTTTCAGATCTTGCCTTTTCTAATTTCCCTTTGCACGGCAATGGGGAAATGGTTCCCAGAGGTGCTTATGAGGTATATAGGGCCAGATGAATCACGTATGAAGCAGTTAGGCTTCTGTTATGTGTCTTAGGACAATACTTACCTGCAATGAATGTCAGAAAGCAAACCAGAAAACCCTGCCCGCAGTGGAGAAATTCTAGCTTTATATTGATATGCTGGTGCCTTTGTAGAAATGCATCCAGGAGGATCAGAACAGAGGGGGAAGTTACGCTAAGAAAATAATGAGGCATCAAGTGCTTTCTGTGAATAATGCAATTAGGCTAAAAGATTTAGTTGCATGTAATTCATTCCCTTTTTAAGCATTCTTTGTAATTCTGTATCGCTCTTGAGGAACTTTTTGATTAAATGCATGTCAGTTTGCAGCAGCTGAATTAAATCAAATGAGCCTTTATCAGTTTAATTAGCACAGCTTCATGCAGTTTTCACCGGAATGCTCTGAGGTATCTGGTAATTTTATATATAGAGGGAGAGATAAAAGGTAACATTTTTTAGGAGTAATAAAGCTTTGCTCTGTGACTGACACTGGCTTGCTGGTGGTGGCTACAGACCCGCTTCCCCTTTCAAGTGAAGAGCGGTGCTTGTTTCCCACATGTTGTGCCTTTTGGTTCAGTTACCTTTTACTGTTTCTTAAATCAAGATTTTACAGGAAGTCCACAAAAACCAACATTTTGAAATACTCGTGCTGATGAATTTATTTTCTAAAAATTGCACATTTTCATTGTTAAAATAAAATGATGTGATGTTTTTACATTTATAAAATTCTGACATAAACTGTACTCCCTCCTCCACTATACCCAGATCTACTACCAAAGATGTGATTTGGCTCTGATCTAGTAAAGGTTGTACTTGGCACACTGTAGGCAGTCCCTGGGTGTGAATTAAATCTCTGCAGTGGAAGGAATGGGAACATCGGGAGTTCAACTACCTCTTTTTCAAAGGAAAGAGGCTCCTATTGACAGTACCTGTAGCCTTTACCTTTGAGAAAGTTAGTAAAATTCAGTAGGCATAGGATAACAAAGGCACAAAAGTAACTGAACCCAGGCATTGACTTAAATCATGTAACTTAAATTATTCATAAAACTCATCCAAAACCTCCTTTCCTCTGTTGTATTTTCAAAATTCACTGGAGTTTCAGATTCAGGTTTGCACATTTGAAGAATGGGCGTCACAATAGCGCCTGTCCCCTGGGCCTCTGGGATCATGGAGCGGCAGAATGTATGTAAAACCTCATAGGCCTGATATCTGTTAAGCACCATGAGCACAGGAGTCTTTTAGTAAATAGGCCTGCAGAATTTGGATGATTGTTACATATTTAATGTTGAAAATAGCTCATGTATTTAATGCCCACTGAAGGTCGTTTGAATGACAGAACACAAGTGGGTTTCTTTATTCTCTGGTCAGGCAAACACGAATATATTAGACTGCGAGTCCCTTCCAAGAAGAGGATGTTTTATTTTCATGTCCTTGCATGCGGTACTGGGCTTGGTACATTTGTATGCTGCACGTTCCACGGACGGCCATGGGCTGGCGGTGCTGTGCCACCCTCCCCTGGGCGACCTGAGTGTGAGCGCCAAGCTTACGTTGGAGGCTCGAGCCAACCTCTTCTCACTCAGTTCTTTTTCTCTTCTCAGCGGAGGCAGCGACCTTGGTGGGCCCCGGGATCCACTCCAGGTTCTGGAAGGTGTTGTTGCAGCCGTCCATGCCAGCGTGGACAAGGGGTAAGACTGGAACGAGTTTGTGACCTCATTTAGGCCTTCCTCTGCCCCAGCATTACTTCTCGTGAGCATGTGTATGAAGCCCCCAAAACTAAGCAACGTTGCTAGGGATTTCTGGAGAAAGAGCCGAGCACCTTCTGCATATCTAGCTTGCTTTTGCAGGTACACACATGGTATCCCCAGCTGCATTCTGACCCCACTGGCTCCAGCTCACCTGCTCTCCTGAGCCTTGTTGCTGAGAGAGCCTGCTCCCTTCTCACCTTCCTCCCGGGGAGGCCAGGGTGGGGATGCTCTGAGCTTAGAGGAGGAGGGATTTACAGCCACCACAGTTTAGCTGTATTGACTACATATGGTAATTCCTAGAGCATGTATGTTATATTGTTTTTTAAAGCTTTATAAGTGCTAGACCTGTCTTGTCTGAGGACTAAGCATGTCCAGGCTGTGTAAGTCTGGAAGGTGTGTCTCTCCAAGGCCATTTTTAGGAAGACTTTTTATTCACATGCAGTGGCAGTAATAGGAGTAGTGACAACAATGAATTAATAAATACTTCCCAGAGTTTGCAAAGATCTTGCCTATGTCTGATATCCATGCCAACCCTGTAAGGCCTTGGCCCAATTTTCTTTTTTTAATGGGAAATATGATTTAATAATAATGAAGTGTTTGAGAAAACTCCCCATAGTTCCAGTCGGTAATATAATTGATTTTATTTGCATATTAACTTCCATGCTGCTATTGTTCAGGTCCAGATACATTTTTATATTGTTTTGATCAGAATTTAGAAACACGTATATTTTATTTAGTTGCTATCGTGACATTTTTATCCTTTTGGATTTGTGATTATTATTTTTGATGGCTGCACATGCCGTTGCCATGTTCCGATGAGGACAGGAAGCTCAGGGAGAGAAATGGACTTTTCCCAGAGTCAGAGAGCTGAGGCCAGAACCAGGATTCCAGTCTGGCTCCGAATCACAGCGGAGCACCTGGTTGCGTCAGGAGTGTGTTTCCATGCATCGTTTTGTGCTCAAGGTTTGGGAGAAGGAACATAGGATCAGCCATGTAGATGAGTGTGGAAAACACTCGAGCAAGGCCCCTGCTGGCCCCCGCCTGTGCCCTTGCAGCCTCTCTAGACCCCTTCATTGGGGCCTGTGGGGGGTACAGAAGCCGCAGCAATGGCTGGTTCAGCCTTTCATCCTAATGAGACATTTATTTATTTTCTATGTGTTTACTGTGTGCCATGCTCCGGGGTAAGTCACGAGGAGTTAAACCTCATCGTCTTCCGGGGCAGCCAGTGTGCCCAGAGCCTGTTACTCTACTGCAGAGTGGCGAGCACTGTGCAGAAAAGAGGCAGGGGGAGTGTTCACTCTGCTGGGGGAGTCGGGGCGAGATGTCCCAGGGGTGACACTAGGCCTGGTCTAGGAAATCATCAGTCTGTTAGGAGGAGGAGGTGGGTAGTTGTGCTCCAGGCTGAGAAAGGTGCCCAGGCAGCTGCAGAGTCAGCAGAGGGCACAGCAGGTGGAGGTGCTACGTGGGAACCGCCTCAAGGAGGCACCCAGGCCGCCTGTCCCACCATAGCCTGTGGGTCAGGGCTCCTGGCAGCTCCCCCGCTGGGCGGTCAGCAGTGAGTGGCTCTCGGGTCCTGCTGCCCTGGCTCCGGGCCTCACCCCATGAAAGGGTCTTCCCAGGTGCTGAGTTAAGCCCCTTCCACTGGGGCTCCTCAGTCTTGTCCACTGGGGACATCACACAAAGATGAGAAGGTGGAGTTTTCCTTAATGATTTTCCGGCCAAATATACAGGCTAGTTTAAGCTCTGGTTTCCAAAGAGGAAGCCCTCAGGGAAAGGAGACACAGACCAAGGTCCAACTTTTCACGTCACAGAACAATTACCAATGCTTTTCAACAAAAACTGGAGATTTTTTTTTTCTTTTCTTAAAGAAGAGACAGGAAGAAAAACAAAGGCATAACTTCTAATCCTCAGAGGCACACTATTATACAGATATCATTGTATCCATTTTACAGATTGGGAAACGAAGCTTAGGCAGGTATGCAATGTGTCCAGGGTCACCCAGGGGAGGACATGCTGTGAGTTTCTCCCACCGTAGCCCATCTCCTGACATCACAGAGCCCCAGCAGCAGACAGGAGGGTCACAGTGCATGGGAGCTGCCTGAAGATCTTCGTGGAAATTAAATTTACTGAGGTGACATTGGTTAATAAGATTATATAGGGTTCAAGTGTACATTTTTGATCCACGATCTGTGTATTGCCTTGTGTGCCCGCCACCAAGTCAGACCTGCTGTCGCCGTATATTTGACCCCCTTCCCTCCGGCAGTCACCATACTGTTGTCTGCGTTTGAGTTTCTGTTAGTTTGTTTTTCGTGTTTGTTCATTTGTTGCTTTTGGTTTTATGTCCCACATATGGGTGAAATCATATGGTTCTCGACTTTTTGTGACTTACTTCACTTCTAACCGGCTCCCAAGTACTAGCCAGTCTGTGGGCTGATGGACTGAGCTCTGAGCGGCAAGGCCTTGCGGCGGCACTTCCCTCAGCGCCCGCCTCTCCCGCAAGCTTCTCCCTGTCTCGGCCGTTTGTTTGTTTGTTTGTTTGTTTTTTACTTTCTATCTTTAAAAGCACGTCCTAACTGAAATGACCCACAAGCGTGAACCAGTATATTAGTGATTCTCAAAAGGATGTACAGAGCCCAGTCAATTCAGAAAACGGATAATGAACGAGGGATTCCACTGTGCACTCTTCAAACAGGAAAAACGATTTCCTTCAAAACTGAAGGGGATGTTAGCTAAATTTATTGTGATAATTTGCGATACATACATATACCAAGTCATTATGTTGTGCACCTTAAACTAATGCAGTGTTATATGTCAATTATATATTGATAAAAGTGGGAAAAATAATATGCAACTTGAAATATCAGCTTTCCATAGTTATTGTCAATAGTAATAGTTTATATAAAATTACTGGAATGATGCCTGATGCTATTCTCATCATTAATTGAAATAAGCATACCACTTACTAAACTTTGCATAAGAAATAGAGTAGCTAAGGACATACTGATTAATGATTATTTTCATCAGTTTTATGTAACTCAGGTTAATATGATACTGTTTAAAAATTATATTTATTTTACATAGTTTTTTAGTAGCCAATGTGGTTGGCTATACGCATTTGAAACCTAACTTTTTGCTCTCAAGGGAAAAAAATAAAGTCACCCCACAAACACGTGCATATCTTTAAAAACATGTCCTAACTGAAATGACCCACAAGCATGGTCACCATGTTTGGTTACTGGAGTAAAGAAAGAATTGGGCTTGTCTCTTTCTGTCTAACCCTTGGTTTTGCCCTGCAGGGAGGAGCTGGTGTCCCCTGAGGACCTGCTGGAGTGGCTGCGGCCTTTCTGTGCTGATGACACGGGGCCCGTGAGGCCCCGAGTCCGTGCGCTGCAGATTCTGGGACAGTCATTCCACCTGACCGAGGAGGACAGCAAGCTCCTTATGTTCTTTAGAACGGAAGCCATCCTCAGAGCCACGTGGCCCCAGAGGCAGGTGAGGGAGCATCTGGCTGGCTATTGAATGTTTTCCCCGTTAATGTCGTGATCACCTTAAGCTGCCTTCAGGTAAACAGCAGCCAGCGTGGTAACTGACTTCCCATGTTCTCGTCAGCCTAGCTGCTTGGTAGTTAAATTGTGCGAGAGTCTGCCTTTATTTCCCGTGTCTGAATATGGCTCTGCAGAGTAGACGGCTCCTTACACACGCGAGCATCGTGTTTCTCCGAGACGCGGCCAGGCTTCCCCAGCATCAGGTAGTTTGGGCGGCTCACCGGTCCCTGGAGAGGGGCTGATCTGAGCACAGGCGCAGTGCGCAGCTGCTGATCCGTTTCTTCCCTGCTCTGCCCAGGTCCCCACAGGCCCCAGCCGCTCTCCTGGACCTAGATGGGAGCAATGTAGCAATGACCTGAGTTTCCAAAAGTATTTGGGAGCAGAAATAAAACTACCCTACTGCCTTCATTACGCTATTTATCTATAATATTGAAAAATAAGTTAAATCAGTGTCTCTTCCTCTGCCTCTTTTAAAATTAAGAATTCTGTGTCAGTCTGCTGTTGCCGATTTCAATCTCTTCTGAAGGGCAAGCGAATTTGGTGGAGACCCTGTGCTATAATTAGTAAATAACTGCCTGCCACGTGGAGAAAGAACCAGAAAAACCATGGCTTCAGAATGGAAACAACAGCAAGTTCTGGAGAGTTACAGAGCTATGCCCATGGTCGAAAATCGAGCTCATCTCCATTATTGTTGTGTTTTTTTTAAACTGTGTCACCTTTCACCAGAGCAGGGGAAAGGTCAGGGCGCTAGTGGACGAATCGCATGCATGTGTCTCTATCTCCCTCCACCGCTGTTTTATAATTTTGGAGAAGATTCTTATCCATAAGCCTGGCCGCCTGGTGTGTAGAGTGGGACCTTGAACTAAAGGAGCTAGGGGAGAGTTTGCTCCCCTCCTCCGTCATTTCTTCCACACATCCAAGTGTCATCTTCATCTCCGCACTCCAGACACCTGAAAGACCCCCAAATGTTGGCTGCCCAGGCTCCCACTTTTTCCTTTCTTCCTGTCCCCTTCTCCATCCTCAGGGGAAATACTGGATGAAGATGGATTCTTAGAGTAAAGATAGGAGTAGATAATTGATATCACAGTGTTCAATGACCAGAAAAGGAGGTGCCGCTACCTTGGCCGTGGCTGGGAATCCTCAGCAGGAGACTTTGCGTGCATCATAGAGGGACTTAATATTTCATTATCCTCGAGGTGCCCAGAGTAGTGGCCCCACAAGTGAGTGTGTTGCTGGGAAACCAGCCAGGTCCTGCAAAATTAAACACCCAGTCTGTGGGGCCTTATTCTCAGAGAGACAGCAATTTCTAGTTTTCTAATGATTAGTTAACAGAATTAAAAATTAAGAGGCCCTCATTTTCAGCAGCTGGAGAGGCCTTCATTCCTAGTCCAGAAATGTGCCCAGCTTGGGGAGGCGGGGGGAGGGGAGACGGGGAACCGATAGTGGAGGGGTGGGATGGGTGTAGTGTGCTAATCCCCTGGGCACTTCCATTAAGAAGAAGAGTTTCCGGCATTACTGTTCTTTTTCAGCCTTGCTCTGAGGTCCTAGTCTATGTAAGACAAGAAAGAGAAAGAGGGGCTATGACATTTAAAAATTCTTGTTATTTGAAGATTATCTAATTCTAATTTTTAGAAAACCCAAGAAAAATATTGAAAATGACTAGAATTAATAAATAGAATTTATCATAAGGGCTAAAATAAATTATAAGTGAATACATATAATAATATATGTGAAAATAACTCATGAGTTGCTGGTACAGGGTCTTAGTAAATGTGATTATGTAAGTACTATAATTTTGACATTTGTATTTTGAAAATGGGGAGCGATGCTCTGAGAAGTCAGTAATAATTGAAACAATTAGTGCGCATTAAGAGAAAATGTTTCCTGACAAAGACATACTCTTAAAAAGTCTGTGTATACATGAGAAATGCGTTATACAAGGAAACTTATTACCAAACATTTTTAAAGTGGAAACTATTATTTGCACACTAATATAAAAACAAACATGTGAAGGTTTAATTTATAGTTTCTTTCCTCTTTTCTTCTCCTGTGACAGTTAATGTCCTTACAGTTTTCAGGCCGTTACACTTTCTGAAAAGAAAGACACTGAAATGATACTGAAACATGAATCACTTTCTCCTACTCTCCCTTTTTGTGTCTGTAGCAGATACCCCGTTATACTCCGCCTGTCGTGTGAAGGAGAAACTTACTCTCCTTAATTACCCTGCAGCTAATTACAGACACTGGCATATCGGCACTGCCAGGAGCACTGGAGACATAGCAGTCGATGGTTTTTAAGTATTTGTTACACACACAGTGTTTTCTACAAGTAAACTCTGTGGAGACTTAGACTGTAGCTCAGACAAGAGCAGCGTTTCCCAGCCCTGTCCCGGCTGTGGACCCAGGGGGACCTCAGACCTCAGGCTTCAGGGATTTGGGGCTCGTTTCTCAGATGCGGGAGATGAGGCTTGGAGAGGGGCTTCATTGGAAGCGCAGGGCTGAACGAGGGAGGCGCCCACGGGCGCGCACCCCTGGGCCTTCCAGCCACTTCCTTCCTCGTGGCGTCTTCTTTCTAAACCTACATCTATTTCTAATGAAAAAAGAACAGCCAGAAACCTAGGGCAACTCCGAATATTGGCATCGTTCTGTGCTGAAGTATTTTCTGAACGATAACTTAGTCCATTCGCTCGTTTGTCCACTCAGTAGTTCCTTCACTCTGTAAGTACTTGCTATGTGTTACTCTATCAAGATTATTTTAAGTAGTGGGGCTAACCGGTGAACAAATAACAGTCTCTGTTTTTAAGGAGCTCCCGTTCTAATGGAGGAAGAAAGGCAGTGAACAAATAAATATCTAACATGTCACACACTTGTAAATGCCAAGAGGGGGTGGGAGGCCGGTAAGGTGGGGAGCGCTGCTTCAGGTGGCGCAGTCCGGCACTGTGTTCTCTGATGAGGTAGTGTTGCAGAAATTTGAAGGGAATGAGGGGATGAGCCTTACAGATATCTGGGGAAAGGGTGCGGAGCAGAGGGAGCAGATCCAATCCCTGGGGCAGGTGTGTGATGAATGCGGAGCATCTAGGGGCCCCGAGGCTGGAGGCGGTGGCAGGTGGTGAGGTCTGGTAACAGCAGATGGATTGCTTGAGTTTGAGAGTTTTTAAAAAACATTTCTTTATAAATAAGTAAGAAACTTGCAAAAGTCCCAGCTAGACCACCAATTCAAATAATTCAAATTATTCAGCGTACTGGGTCCTCTCGATTCAGAACATCCTGACCTGGTTGTAATTAGATTCTGAACCTGCCCCCTGTTGGCCATGTTACTGGGACAGATAAGCCTGTTTTCTCATCTGTACAGCGAGGTGAACATACCTGTGCTGTTCTCCACACAGAACTCCTGCGAGGGTCCACTGACTTGCTGGACTATAAAACTATTTCAAAGCCGACCAGATGCTTTGCCTTGTTATTCCATGGGGATGGCGTGAGGCTTTGGGGCAGGTCTTGAAGGGTTTAGCTGGCTGCTGTGTGAGCAGGACTCCCATAGCACCACCAGCTTCTGTGAAAAGGCAGAATTCGTGGTACAGCTTTTTCAGAGCCAGAGTGACCATTCAATTAGATGTTTTGGAAACATGCATTAATATATGACATTGCCCAGTTACAGACAACCTGTGTTAGGAGAGGCTGGGAACAAGACAACCAGCACTGGCCTCCTTTTACCTTGAAAACTGCCGTTATCTTGAACTAGCAAACATTTTCGTCCACAGAGCTGTTGGGAAGTGATTTGTTTTAGGACGTCTGCAGTGTGAAAAAAAAGTCACCCAGTTCTTTAGTGAGGGAAACATGAGCGTTCTTTATCTGCTGAGACTTCTCTTACGTTAGGAATGAAGATGGGAATGAAGGGTGTTTTACTTTATTTTGGTTTATAGCAAAAATATCCCGTGACAAATGCACTTTAGTAAAATCTTTAATTTCAAATTGGAAAAGTTTTCTGGACAACATGAACACTTAGCAGAAATAATGCTAAAATGAAAACTAGAAATGCACGTAGGATAATTTAAAGTGAAAACAGGCTAATTTTGAGTATGGTGAACTCTTTTTTCATGTTACACAATTCAGTATTTTAACATAACATATATTGGATGCCTATAAGCCAGTTCTTTGGAAGTCTACTTGTTTGAATTTATTTTGGTCAAGAATGTTAAGACCCATCCTGTGATTTTCTCTAAACAGTTTTTAAGTAAAAGGTTTGAAACGGGGAAGGTGCAGAGCTCTTGAAGGCTTTTTTTGGGGAAGGGGGTGTTCTTGGTTCTTTCCTCAACGTCTTGTATAAATGTTCAAACGAGCACTTGGTCAGAATCATGGAATTTGAATTTGTCTGTAAACCAGTCCATCAGCCTTTGCCACCAGTTTCAAGTGTGTGCTTCGACTTCCAGGTGGCCGTGACCGACGTTGAAAGCGAAGAGAACCGCTACGCGCTCTTCTCGGAGCTCCTGGAGTCCAGCCACCAGGAGGCTGAGTTTCAGCACTTGGTTTTGCTCTTGCAAGCGTGGCCACCCATGAGTCATGAGCATGTGTAAGTAGTCACAGAAATTAGACTCCACTGGTTGCTTTAGATTTAAAAATTCTACCTTCAAAAGAGCCAATGAAAGAAATAGGTAAAATTCGCCTTGCCCCTAAACCCACATATTTTGCTCAGAAATATCAGATGATGCTTGACAATCACACCTGATTTATGGCATCAGCAAAATAATTCTGTTCAAGTTTTGTTTTTTTTAAACCAGGAAATCTTTTGACTCTCTTTTAACGTGGCCCATGATGCTAACTTGAGAACCCATATGGAATAAGTTGATAATTCCCGTTTATTGAGATCACACAGTGTATGTGCAGTTCACATATATAATCTGCTCACACAGCAGCCCCACACAGGAAGGTGATGGTATCTCATTTTTAGATGAGGAAATTGAAGCTCAGAAGTGATGTAACTTCAGGCATCGCATGGCTAATGTGCGGGGAAGAAGAGCTATAACCAGCCACTGGCTTCCTTCCCAGCCTTCGTGGTCCCCAGCACTTCCTGTTGAGCTTGCAGCTGCCACTCATGGCTGCATGGAGTGGCCATCCCACCCGTGCCAGCAGCCCCGGGTTCCTGTGGACAACATGCACATATGCTGCGTGTCATGAACTGCTGCTCCATGTTGGCAAAAAACAGAGCACATGGGCTTGTTCCAGATTCCTGCCTCTACTAGGACTCACCGTGTGCTTCCCACGCTCACGGGTACTCACGCACACTAGGCCCTGCACATCTGCACACCACAGAAATCAAGCAGGAGGTCTTCCTGAGAAATCACTCTGCACAGTTAGGACCAAGCAGCTAAAAAACACCTGGAAAAGGCTCTTTACCTTAACCCCAGGATAGGACTGTTAGGAATTTCTGAAGAGTGGTTTTTTTTTTTTTTTTTCCAGTTACGGTTTACATTCAATATTATTTTGTATTAGTTTCAGGTGTTCAGCATAGTGGTTAGACAATCATGTAATTTACACAGTGGTCTCCCCGTTATTTCCAGTACCCACCTGGCCCCGTACATAGTTGTTACAGAATTATTGACTATATTCCCTGTGCTGTAATCACATCCCTGTGGAAAACAGCCTTTCCCAGATCTCTGTCATTTGCGAGAGAGATGACGTGCTGATGTGGAGCTTTAAGACTAGGTTCTTGGCTTCGCTACGGTATAGGTTCTCCCACCCTGAAACCTCCCGTCTTCCCTGTGACCTTGTGTTAGAACAGCGTTTCCACGCGGTTCCCAGCTGTCTCGGAGGAGCTGCCTTAGGACCCTGGGGTGCTTGTTAGAAACTGGGGCCCATACCTGGTTTGCTGAGTCCCAGCCTCGCTACTGGGGCCAGGACTCAGTTTCTGAGCAGGTCCTAGGTGGTGGTGGTGATGTGAAGCTGGCGTGGGACCCACTAGTCAGACTGTCACCCACTCTTCACTGTTTCAGAAAATCATTACTGAGTGTAGATTTCTTCATGCCCTCGAAACGGGTCTCAGGCAAGAGAATCTACTCAGTTCAGAGTGTGACACCTTTGGTAGGTGAGACGTGGTGTCGCAGGTCCTCTTGCTTCAGAGCAGTGACCATTTCAGATCCCTCGCTCACCCTCAGATGCAAAGTCAGCTGCACTTGAACACTTAATGTATTTGTAGACAAAAGATCTTAATTTTTAAAGGTGTCTTTTCTGTAGTGGCATATGAAACAACATTTGTAAATTGCTGACCTGTGTTCCACACCCTCCATTACACGGTCATTATCAGAACAAAGCATTGCCCACCTGCTCACCGCTCCTCCCAGCCAGGTGTCCCCAGCACAGGCAGGGTCTGCTCTTCCTCTCGGGCTCACGTTGCTGTTTTACCACAGGAGAGCACATGATGATGGGATGCTTTAAACACAGGTTCCCAAAGTACTTTCGAGCACTTTTATTCCAGACAATCCAGTGTGTGACCTCGGCACTTGCACCATACCCAAAACAAAGGAAGGGGGTTGGGGGAGAGAGGGACAGGAGAGGAGGAAGGGAGGGAGAGTGACAGTGATTGACGCTGCCAGTCAACGCAATCAAGGTAAAAACTCAGAGATTTGCTCCCTCCGATCCATATGACTGCCGATTTAATAATGCCAGCTTTAGATTTTTAGTTCTAGTCTCCTGCAGGAGAGTGCATGGGAAGTGTAGTAGATTCCTGCTTATAGGAAGCCCACAGCTTCTGTCCAAGGTGTCATGCTGGCTGGTGACAAGTGCATCTTGGTCATTGTTGTCGAAGTCGCCTTGCCCCGTGGGACGTGCTCTCTGCAGTGAGACAGCGGATTAGGAAAGCCCAGGGCACAGGGCTCAGACTTTGAGAGAGGAAAGCAGAGGCCTTGTCTGTGAGAGTCAACAGACTCCTGGTCAGCCAGATGCTCCTGAGCTTTGCTTGTCCTGTGACATGAGCAGCCTTCCTGTCCTCACAGAGCCTGAGTTTGGGCTGAGATGCAGAGGCAAGTGTTGTGAGTCTCCTTTCTCAGGGGCAAGGAGTAAAATTCAGGGAGAAAGGACCACCTTTAGGTGTTCAGTGTCTAAGACCTGGAGCTGTGCTTTACTTACAATGTTATTTCCAAATATGAATGTACCTTTAGCTTGTCATCTGAGATGTAGATCATGGTGTGTTTATGAAATATGGGTGGTGGCGGCCAGAGAAGGGGAACGGAAGGCAAGCTTTGTATGTGTTTATGTCTTAGTAACAAGAGAACTATGTGAAGCTCAGTGGGGGTCTCCCTACTGCTTGTGTGGCTTTCCCAGTCTGTGGCCCACCCCCCCCCGCTGACCTCTGCTGTGCCCGCCCTCCTGTCACTAATCCTGCCCCAACCCCACAGTCATAGTCCTAATCACATGATTAAGAAAGGCCAGTATTGGGTAGTAAGTAGTAAGATGGGCCTGCTATGAAGAGCAACACTTCACAATCACAACCATCATTCATTAACAAAGCCACCCTGCAGGGCAGACACTAAATTGCCTTTTCACCATGAGGTATACTGAGGCCCAGAAAGGTTGGGTGGCTTCCCCAGAACCATCCAGCCAGGCTCAGTGTCTACGTGACTTCTCTGAGTCCACCAAGTAGAAAGTCAGGGAGCCAGCAGTGAACCCAGTGCCTGGGGCTTTGGGTAGCCTGTGCCCTTCAGCGCCTGCCCATGGCGCCTGCTGGGTGCTGGCTGATTCCACAGTGAGCTCCTTCTCCAAGAGATGCTCTCGCATCTGCAGGAGGGGCCTAAAGGATCACATCCTCTGCATCATGAATGTGATTTGTCAAAAGCATTCTGCTTGGAAATTTTCTATTTGAAAATTTCTTACCACAATTGACGCAGCCTTCATCCTTTCCCGTGCCTGTGTTTCTCTCCCCTAGAACCAGCGTGACTAGTAACCCTTGGGTGAGACTGGCCACGGTGATGCTCAGCAGGTGTACGATGGAGAACAGGGAAGCCCTGGGGAGTGAAGTTCTGAAAATCTGTCGCGCTCTGTACAACACCACGCAGATGCTCCCTGCCCAGGTGAGGTGCTCTCCCATGGGACCCTTTCTCTTCTCTAGACTCTGCATTATAGGCAGTATCAGCAACTGTATGTGAGGGACATTTAGCTCAGGTGGTAGGTAGAGGGCCACGATTTGTACAGATCGATGAAGACGAATGGTGCAGAAAGGCTGCTTTGAGGGGCTCTCCTCTCTGCTCAAGCCCTGACGCAGAGTCCCTTTTACAGCCCAGTGTAGAACCTAGTTTCCGGGTCCTTTGGATACCCCTTCGTGTCTCACTCAGGTTTACCTTCCAAGGGTCATGGCAGCTCTGTCTGAGCTGAGCATCCTCTGGGCAGGTCACCCGCTGCTCTGATTTTCATTTGCTTTTTGACGTAATGAGACTGCCTAACCTCAGTATTTATTCTCTGTAAATACACTAAAACATGCAGCCTCCTCCATTCTGAGCTCAGTTTTCTCTCTGATCCCATGATCTGACTGTCAGAGGTGCTTGTTTCACATATCGATGCATGTATATTTGTACCTTCAAAAATGAGCACCCATTAACTACAGCTCCCTGCACAGGTCTGACCTCAGCGATAGAGCTCGAGCACTTTACATATCTTCAGTGAACATTTGGTTAGTGGCACTAAGTTGATTAATTGGTTTTTGAGTTTCTACCACATAAACTTGAAAATAAAATTGTAAATAGGGTTGTCTGAATCTTCACTGTAATCAGTCTTGGAAAATAATCTCATTCTGAATGCACGTTTAATGAATCGTTTCCTGAGTGAGGGACTGGCTAAGTGTTTTTTGATTGAATTTTAAAGTATTTATTTAAAGAAGCCTTTCAACCACCAGAATGACAGAAATCCTTCTATAAAATATTTAAAGCTCCAACACTGAAGGTAACTTCCCTTTACTCCACTGGTGTGCGATTTGCTGGTTTTAGCTCCTTACTTACCTGGGACCCGCTCTGCTGCAGTGAGCACCTGGAGGGTGGGGCCCACGGCCGTGTCACCTCTGTTTCACCCAGGCAGGATTACACACAGTTTATTACCCACCTGGGCAGGTGAGATGTAAGTAACATGGGGTTTTAGTAAAAGGAGTTAGAAGTTAAATGAGAAGTTAAATAGCTGTAATAGTTTAGCTCCCTAATACGGTTCTCTAGCCGGGTTGAACTACTTTAACAGATAGAGCAAGACAGTAAGCGTATCTGCAGTGGTCCGTTGGACCTCAGCACCGCCGGGTCGTGACTCCTCAGTGTCGTAAGGTGGTCAGAGCAGACAGGATGGGGCCTATATGCTTTTGTTGTGGAGGATTATCATTTGTTAGCATCTGTAAAAGCCTACTCTCTGACGACAGCGCAGCCAGCATGGCAGTTCAAACACATCTGTGGAGATTCGAGTACATTTTGATTTTTCTGGACCACAGATGGTTTTCATGAAGATGAAATATCTTAATTAGCAAGTATGCAGTTCTCCTTGACATTAGGATTATAAACAGATTTTTAAACACTTCCTGATTTCCTTTGTTGCCGTATATTATACTAGATATTGATAATATTAACAATGGACAGTGGTTTTTACTGTTTGTTAGGCATCCGGTACATGCTGAGCATTGTATGTTGTTATTAACACCTATTCTCACACACACAAAACCACTGCAAAGTAGATATAATTACCTCCATTGTACTTATGAGGAAACGAGGGCTCTGAGAATTCAGGAAAGTGAACGACAGCCCTGCATCCATCTGGCGGGATACTATGCAGCCATTAAAAGGAATGTTATAGAAGAAAATCTGAGAGCTTAGAATGATGTTTACAAAATACTGTGAGTGAATGAGGCAGGTCCCAAACACTGGGTCAGTGTGGTCCTGTGTGCCCTAGACACACACACGCACACGCTCTCACACGCACACACACGCACATGCTCACAGAAGATGGTGTGGGAGGCACAGCCAGGGCTGCACTCACCCGGCTGCGCTGTGCCTGCAGTGTGTGGAGGAGCTGTGCGCGCTGCTGCGGAGCCAGGCCCTGCTGCTGCCGGCCCTGAAGCTTCTTCTCGAGAGCCCGGACGAGCGTCTGCGCGAGGTGGCCCTGGAGCAGGTTGCCACCGTCACCAAGGTACTCCTGGTGGGCTTGACTCTTTCTTATGTTTCCAAGACATGTTAGTACTGTCAATTCTCGTCGGTAATGACCGTGATTTATCCATGATTGTTTTAGCTACAGTATTCTCAGACCACAACTGTTATTTCTGTTTTGTCTAAGAAGTAGTTATTTGTGTATTTCACAAACATTTACTGAACTCCCCTGGTTTGTAAGCATTTACGAAACCAGACTCTGCGTTTAGGTGCAGAGACTGTGAATCCAAATAGTGAAGCCGTTTCTCTAGAGAAGCGGTGTTTTGGGTCCTTTAGGGAAATGTCAGAGCAGCCGGGACTGTGGGGACCTGTCCCGGGCACTGGAATTCGGGTTGAAGGAGCTCCTGGCCTCAGGCTGTTTGGTGTGTCTGGGTGTGTGTGTGTGGTTCTCTCCTAATTAACGTGAGAGAGAGGCTGGGGGTCATGTTTACTGGCACCATCTGACTCCCAAGCCCTGGTGTCCTCTGGCAACCTGAGCTGAGAATGATGCACTGGAGTGAGGGCCTGCGGCCTCCCTAAGGCCGGGTTATCTGGTTACTGTGATTAAGGAAGAGCCTTGTATCTCCCTTTTTAAATTTTACGCTTCAGACTTAGATGGCTCAGGGTTGTGTTTTAATGAATTCGTGTTGTCTGATTCTTACTGAAACCCTTCTGTAGGGAGATTATTCTTTCATTTGAAGTATTTGCATGTGTATATCATGTGTCTGTGTGAGTGTGTGCTTTTTTATTTTTTTAACAAAAAATGTAAGAGGGCCAGGGAGGGGAGGAGGGGCCTGGAGCAGAGGTACACGCGTGCTGCACCGGACACTGAGGACTGATGAAAGTACAGTCACGCAGCGCTAACAGCCAGGATGGGCTGCGAGAAACGCGCAGGTAGTCATGTGGGAGTATCCGAGTGCACTGCACAAGCCTAGGTGGGCTAGCCCGCTGCACACCTGGACCCTGGTACAGCCTGCTGCTCGGCTACTGTCCCAGGCGCCGTGGGCACTTGTAACACAATGGTAAGTATTGTGTATGTCATCTTACCTAAACATACAGAACAGACCGTAAAAAGTGGTATAAAAGATAAAAAATCATGCACCTGGATCAGGCAGTTACTGTGGTGGAACTCGCAGGACTGGAAGCTGCTGTGGGTGAGCCGGGGGGTGAGTGGTGAGCGAGTGTGAAGTGAGGACCTCGCTGCACAGCACTGCAGACCTCACACACACTGTCCCCTTAGGCCACGCGGTGGATATAAAACAACACGAGATTAAACCCAGCACAGGAGGAAACGATAGTCAGGAGACGAGGTAAACACAAGATACATGAGGCTGCTGCCCACAAAACATAGCACCCTGTTCAACAGCAAACATTTTAACAATAAGCAGAAAGTACACCCTAAATGATGATGAAAGGTACAGTGTAAGGCAGCGATTGTCACCTCGTGGCACACAGAAGCTACTCACTAAAGTTCCGCAGCAAAGCGGTTGAAAATTGCTGGTACAGGAAATGCATGAACCAGTAGCATGGTCGTTTATCATCATTATCGAGAGTTACATACTGCACGTAATTGTAGGGCATCTATTGGCACATCCTGGTGCCGTGTGCATCAGTGAGGAGTGGGCAGGAGGTTTGTAAAGATGAAATAAAATGCCATCCTAGATTTCCAGGAGTTATCTCACGGGGGGATTGACATATGACTTCAAGGAATTAAGCAGAGTAGGAAGGGTGTACATACAAAGTGTGGAACTGACCAAACTCAGGGCCCCGAGATGGGAGATCTGGTTACGGTCATAGAGGTGCTTAGGCCTAGCTTCTCAAAGACTCTCTCCCGCTGTTGGGTTGTGAGGCAGGTGATTTGTCCTAATTTTGGTTTCAGAAGAGGAATGCTATTAAATCCCATGCCAGGAGTGGAACCGAACACCATTCAAATAGACAATACAAAAAATTATCCACAGGCATTTTTCTCATTCCAAGTACACACTTGTGTTGCCCTTTTATTTTTCTGCCCTTATCATTGATATGTTTAATAACCTCATTAGGGATAGTATATGTCACAATGAGACAAATATCCTTCCCTAAAGTAAACAGTGAAATGATATTAAATAACCTCTGAAGTAACTGAAATGAGGTCCTGCATACATTATGCTGCTCAGCTTACCTCATTACCGTAATTACTCTCAACTTCGTATAGATCCACCAAATCAAAGACTTCAGCTCAGAGAAGGTTCATTACCTATTGTTGAAACGGGAATTAAGCAGATAACATTTTAATGGCTCAGAAGACAGTAGTGCTTTGTGCTTTAATAGATTTCTTTCCCAAGATCTGCAAAGTTTCATTTAGTCTCAAAAATCACTTGCACACAGAAATCACGATGGAGGTGACAAGCATTTACTCCTTTATAATATATAAACCCCTTTCTCTTCTCGAAAGTCTTTATTCCTGGTTGGTGTCACTGTGATAACTTCAGCCTTTCACTGAACGTGGACTCTATACCTAGCATTGTGCTAGGGGCTTAAAGAGCATAGAGTATCTCCACCCCTGGAGGTGGTCTGTATTTCAGACGTGGACACTGGAGCCCAGAGAGTGTCCCTAACGAGGTCACCCAGCAGTTCAGCAAAGTAGCCAGTGTGGGAAATTGGTCTCTACCCCAAGAGCCTGTCTTCTTTTCACAAGACCACCCTGCCTCTTGCTCTAATGCAAAGTTATGTGATCAGAGGAATTAAACCAGCGAATCCTCCTGGATGTGTGTCGTTATTTTGAGCATTCGACTGAGTCCAGAGATAACAGAATGTATTTTCTTCAGGCTCTGAAAGCATGGAGCAAGCTGACATCAGGGCTGTGTGTTTTCACCCACTGTATCCAGAGTAGTTCCTGGTCGATTAAAAAGTCAGGTATTTTTCAGTGTCAGAAAATTATGTATATCTCAGATTCTCTGAGGAATTAAAACTTCTAAACTTTAAGCGAGAGAAAGAAGTGACAAGGGACAGATTCTTTCCTCATGATATAAAAAGTAGAACTTCCATATAAGAACAGGTAACCAGAACATCATCATGAAGCACAGACGGGAATGTTCACTGTGCCTGCAGCCAGGGTTCCCGTTCCGGGTAAATGGAGGGCATCACCTGGGAAGGAAAGACGTTACCCCCAGTCCATCAGCAAGGGCTCGTTCGATCCCTCCCACAAGAGAAAATGAAAATGTTGGGAAGTATATGGAAAAGACTCATCTCAGGAAATAAATTCAGATAGAAGCATATTGGAGGTACCCTTACATAGACCCTATGTCAGCACAATGATTTTCTTTACAAAATACACCCAAAGCCGAGAAGTTCACAGTGAAACTGACGTCCTCCCGCGGTGACATCACCGCTGTGACCTGCACAGGGTGTCACCATGTGGCTGCACTTGCACTCGATCCACAGCCAAAACAGAGTTCAGATACCCCACGCCATGTATCGTCTGCTCGGGCCCCGTGCCGGAGCACCCACCCGGGCAACTTAAACAGCAGCTATTGATTTTCTCCCAGTTCTGGAGGCCGGAAGTCCAGGATCGAGGTGTCAGCGGGATTGGCGTCTCCTGAGGCCTCTCTCCTTGGCTTGTTTGTAGGTGGCCGCCTTCTCCCTGGGTCCTCACATGGTTGCCTCTGGCCTTGTGTGTCCTCCTCTTATCTGGACACCAGTCATATTAGATTAGGATCACCCCAAATGACTCATTAAACAATCGCCTTTTTACAGGCCCATCTCCAAATAGAGTGACATTCTGAGGTATGGGGGTTAGGACTTCAGTGTGTGAATTGGGGGGGGTATAATTCACCCCATAACACCCCAGTGATGCCTCTCTCTCCTTGATAAGTTATCCTAAGGTGGTAATTCAAATAAAGAACATATATGTATAAAAAACATTCATGTGTGGTATTTCAATAATACCAAAAAACTAAAGCCAGCTGAAGTATTTATAGCAGACGTTAAACCACTTGTTACATCCATTCAGTGACTATTTTGCAGCCTTTAAAATTTTTAAGAATGAAAACTTTGTAAACATTTTAAAAATTCTTAACACATAAAGAGAAAGTAGAACACGAACATCCTCTGATTGTGGAAAACGTCTGTGTACGTGGATGACTACAGGGGGTAAAAAAGAGAGTAAATCCTGTGGAGATCCAGGTATAGACGACTTTCTTTTCTAAAACGATTTTCATTTCTCGTTTTCTTTTTTTTCAAAAAGAAAGATAAAGTAGGTTAGAATGAGTAATGGGTAGTAAGACAGTACCAGGCTTTCGCATGAAGTAGAGGCAGATTTTTAATGTCTTGAGAATTTTAGCCAAAAACGAGGAATGAAGACAAGTTGAGGCTTAACAGATCAACCTGTCACCTCAGCAGTGTCGCGATGATAAAGTGTTGGGACGCCAGGTGCGCTGCGGTCCTGGGAGAGGCACTCGGCCTGTCCTCGGTGCTGCTGAGGCGGCCGCCAGGGTGCAGACAGCAGCCTGGCTCCCTGTGACCTTGGGTGACGCTGTCTCCTCTGACTCCCAGCCGCCACCTCTTTAGACGCATGTGGTGGAATAGGCCTTTACTAAGGCCCTCTCTTCAGTTCTGTGTTCTTTCATTCTGTCCTTTGAACCAAATATGCACAGAATTACTGTCCGTGTAGCACTTTTCTTGCGCATGACAATTAGAAAGCATATTCTGCCATTCTGTGCATCTTGCAAAGAGCCAGGACCAGGCGGAAAGCCAGAGAGAGGAAATAAAGGCAGCCACTCCACCTTCTCAGCACTTGATTACGAGAAGCTCAACCAGACTCCCCCCAGCCTTTCCCTGGCCACAGCCCCAGCTCAGTGGAGGCCCTAACCTTGTTTTAGGGAGCCTCTGGGTGGGCCAGTGCCGAAGGGGAAACACCGGAGTTCACTCCCATGACCTAACCTCAGGCTTTCTCAGCCTGGAGAGTAGATAGAGCATTTGGAAGGTGCCACCTACCCTGTCCCTCTCTCTCCCACCCTGCAGGGA